GACCCAAGCGCGGTAACGCGCGAGATGCGACAGCTACACTTGCGGTGACTCCACGCAAAAGAGCCCAATAGGATGCTCATCTTAACAATAGCTGGTCTGGAGAGCGTTAGGCTAATCTTGATAACAGCGTATGCGACACATGCCGGGAGTGCAGGGCTTGGGAGAAGCCAGGACATACCGTCACGCCGCCTGCTGCACTACCTGGCAAGTTCAATGGCGAAGTCGAATTCTATCCGATGTTCTCCAAACAGGGCGCAATCTATTTCATATAACCGATCGCTGCAATCGATGCGGTGCTGGAATCGAGATACCAGACAAAACCATGACCAGCATCATAGACGCACGCCACCAGTTTTGGATGAAATCCGGGCCCGCCAAAGTATTTTACACCGACGGGGAAGTCGCATTCAATAACGACGCCGCAAAGGCAGTACTTAAGGCAAGAGTCACTGAACTGAGGACACGGGCGCGTGGACAACGCGCTACGACCATTGTAGCCAGAATCGGCATACTACGACACCTACTTCACATCATGGGGGCTGAACTCAACAGGTTCGGTATACCTCTTGTGTTCACCCGTCTGTTGCATGAAGCCTTGTTTGCCGCCTGCGCGTTTGTTTTCTGCAACGAGGTATCTCCATGCAACGCACTGTTTGGCCGACGACTGGCGATGCTGCCCGACTTGCCTGTTCTGGACCGCGAACAGCAGGCAGAAACATCCGACCATTCTCGAGAACAGACTATCCGCCGGGTAAGCATTGAGGTTGTTTACTCAAGCCACTGCAGTAGCAAAAACAATCCGTGCACTGCGGGCCAAGACTACTGTCACGGATCAGCATTACTATGACGAAGGAGATTTGGTTGACTATCATCGCCCCACTACTACAACAGACGACTGGGGTGGCTGGAATGGACCCTTGCCGGTCGCACGGAATGACCCCGACAGGTGTCAGGTCATGATAAGTCATAAGAGTGGGGAACCGCGATGTACAGGTCCAGCATGGTGATGCACGACATTCACTATACATTGAAGCTTTGATCGCTCCAGCGATTGGCTCGGACAGCGGAGGATTACGGACTGCGCTGGCATTCGTAGCCAGTCCACCTGCGGGGATCCCTGCTATGACATGTGGATACCTCCCGACCAAAAAGAGAATGCTCCAGATGACGAGTGCAGGCCGGCTATCTCCTGGGGTACATGTGGCTCTTCAGTACCTTATCAGGAACGTCCTTCGCATCGCGAAATTTAGTTTCTGTCAGGTTGGCTAAGAGCATTCACAAGCTATCCCAGGTGACTAATGCTGACAGTTGTACATTGGCGCACTATGACAACGACGTGAACCCAGGCTTCCACTACTTCGAAGCCGAAGGCACCTCCCTAAACATACATGGTATAATTGGATCAGCACATTCAAGGACCATCCAGTGCCTGAAGCCCACCAAACCTCAAGCGGGCTTCGACGAAGACATGACGAACTTCGAAGAACTGGCCGACGCACCAACACAAGGCAACGACGCCATGGGGGACCCCATAAGTCGAACCACCACAGGAAAGACTGACGGCTTGCCACCAGCCAAGAGGAATCAGAGGCGGACCTCGAGGCGCACATTATGGAAATGCGGCACACAGAACTACAAGACGAAAGGGAACTACTGGAGGCAACTCCAACAGGCGAGCTCTACACTGCACCCACGCACATGATCACTGACAACAGCTTGCTGGTCACGGTATCTGGAGAACAGCGGGGGCACCTGCCTACGTGGGTGAATCTACAGGACACAGGCACAACGGAGACATGTCATGTCCCATTGTGCTCCACGGACGAATCCGACAGTTATGGATTGGACTCTGACGAGCACGGACACTATGTAGACCTCTGCTTCGCGGCAGACATCTCCACATCAGTTCTATCAGACCAACAGCGCACAATCTTGGATTTCGACCGTGTGACCACGATGCGAGTATATGTGACCGCTGCAGCTAAACCAGCTGCAGTCGTCAAGGAGGACGACCTTCTCACGAAGGCTGACATCCCGGCGAATCCAGTCAAGGTGCCGAAGGCCCTTTGTATCGAATTCAACACATGGTTTGGCAATAGGTGCTGCAGAATACCAGATACATCCAAAGCGTCAAACATCAGGATTTCAAGATGCGCATACCATTGGGAGTTCGTCAAGAAGGAGAAGGGCGAGATGGAACGTGCCATCGGATTGCGCTTGGTACTTCGGATTGTCATGGACATGGGCCTGGAAGCCTTCGATGCGGGGGCGCCCTCAGGAACGGCGCGGCGGCCGTGTCGACGACTACTCGCCAGCGCGGCAGCGCGCAGAAAGCAGTGAATAATTGCTTCTCTCGACGTCAACATGGCTATCCTGAAGGGGCTCACCTATCAGGAACTTGCTGAGGCAAACGGTGAACAGGAACGCATGGTGCGTTATACATTGCCACCTGGGTCGGCATCTGTGCTCGGATCCTCCCCAGGATTCGCGCGCTACGATGAGTCGAGGCGCTGTTCTTAGTGCCTCAAACCAGGTACTGGCACCAAGGATGCACCAAGTGATCTCTCACTGAAGCTCAGAAAGACAACGAGAGGGTTTGGTTTCAAACCCACGTTCTACGACAAGGAGCTCGAGACAAGTTCTGACCTTCTTACGGCCAGTCATTTTGATGACGCAGACATGGCCAGCGCCGGGGGCACGGTTGACAGGTGCGCCAAGTGCGTTGAGGATATTTTAGGCGAGCGCAAACTCAACAGACACACATGTACCAACTGCGCCGCGAGATGCACGAAGGACGGCGACGGAAATGTTACACTTCACCAAGACGAATGTGCGAAACAGCTCCGCCCTATCCAGCATCGCGAACTCACGGGCGCAGGCGCTGCGGCCAAGGCGTCGAAGAGCGCGGCTAATAGCATATGTTGCATCACTACAGCGCGTCCAAGAACCGACCAACGTGCAAGTGCGACGACTGAGCGCGATTACCAGGGGGCTGCAGGGCTGCTAGAGAAGACCGTCTTTCAAGCGATGAGTCCGACGGGCGGGGTCGACCTGCATGGCGACTCCGGTTACCGACGTCTGAGCGGAGAAGCCGACGACGAGGTCCAAGGCCATGGTTCTCGCGGGGCAAACCAGCCGCGGCGTGGACGCGCGCGCGCTGGCAAGCCCGTCGTCCATCTTGTCGACGCGCACTGCAAGTCTCACCGCTTGCAGGTCCGCTCGATCTACTCAGCGGAAACACTTGCAGCGGCCCACAATTTGGAGGACTGATATCCCACGATCGTTCTCTGCGCGAACTCCACGCAGGGCCGCTGACACCCGCTCAGTGGAAGGACATACTTGAGATGGGCGGCCTGAGCATTAAGGTCACCCTGACCATCGATGCAGAATATGTCTTCAAGTCTCTACCAAGCAAAGACCACAAGAAACCGACTGAGCGCACACTTCTGGGACGCATCAGTTGGGCACGACAAGTGATGGAGCGAAGTATCGTGCACTGCGCACAGTGGTGTGACACTCGCGATATGACTGCGGATGGCCACACCGAGCGGAGCATCTACATGTATGTTCCTACAGGTCATGGGAGGGACGCAATCCTTCAAGCATGGCTCAAAACGACACACTGCAGACAAGGCTGGCTATATGCAGGGTAACATGCTTGCGAGGTAATTTGCGCGCAAGGTAATTTGCATGCGGACCAACCTGCCTTGTTGAGCCTGCCTGCTGCTGCCTATCTTGTGTATGATAGCGTTCTGCTGTATAGCTGGCGGCGGACTCACGGTTCGTCTCCCCCCCGCCCCCGATTCTAAAGGAGGCGAAGGCAACGGCGAGAGGTGGTGAGCGTTTGTCCGCGGCCGCTTATGATCAAGCGACCGGCCGCCAATATATGACTCTGCCTCATCGCGAGGCACACTGCTTGCCATCGAGATCGAAAACTCCTTCGCTTAACATGGCTCGTCGCTCCCGCGACTTTCTCCTACTCTTGGGACTATCGTTATTACGGTACAATAGAGTTGGATATGGGTTTCGCCTTAGGCGAAGCACCTGGTTGGGCCTTCCACCCCCCTTCAAACGACCCCCCCCCGTTAAACAAGGTTCTGGGCCTTGGGAAAGAGGCAAAAAACGGAAGGGGGGCAGCCAAATGTCCCACACATTTTTTTATTCTTAGCCAGCGGCTTGGTGGCGGATCTTCTGTTTTGTTTGATTCTTTTGTGGCATATTGGATGTCATCTTGGGCTATATGGGGCCGTTTGAAGGCCATATTGGACGCTCTGACGCGTTGCCTCCCCCCGTTCAGACCCAGGGTAGGGGGAGGGGAAGGGGTAAACCCTTACCCCGGAGGAGAAGAAGGTAGGGACACAGAAGCGCCTCAAATCACATACGACCACACGGCCTGCGGGGTTTACCCGCCCCGCTTCCCGAAATATTGCGGATAAACATACTATATTCAATGTTTGCCGTCGTGCGGGGCGCAAGTGATGTTTTTTCCTTGCCGAAGTGAACAAACGCGATCCTTGACGCACTGACACCCGCAGCCATGGCTGTTCGGGGCTGCCACCAGCAGCCGCAGGCTGCTCAGCGGCTTCTGCGGCGGAGCCGGGTCTTCCGGTCATTGCGTCTTAGCGACCAGGAGAGCACATTGGTCGCATTGATGTATCATGCCAGCGATGAGTCGGATATGGCAATTTGTTTCAGGCTCGGCTAGAGATGTGCGATGTTCGTTTGTTGGTTCGATAGCGGGTAGAGCAAATGCAGTCTCATTTGGCAGGCGGGTTCACGACACGTTGGGTCGTGGCTTGTGCACGACATGATGCCAGTAGTGGCAGTAGCGATGCACACCAGCACAATAAGACGAATGATGCGTAGCATTGCTACAGATGTGCATTTAGAGGGTCTGGGGAAGAGGCATGGGAGCAAGGGGGTGGGAGAGAGGGAGAGAAGTCGAGCTCGCGTTATCTCGCAGAGAGGCAAAAGGGCGCACGAGCGTCTGGCCCCCATAGGACCAGGGACACTCCGATTGGACGTGGAGGGAAGGTCATCTCCGTAGCCGCCTAATTTGCAAGCGGCGAAGCCTTTGTTCAGATGCTGCACGGTGATCAGGACGTCTTGTGGTCGCGTGCAACTAGTCATCGTAACTGGTCTTTACCACGGAGGGATGCGGTTAGGCAAGCGGTGGTCTGCAGCCAGGTGAGCGGATCTTGTTTGGAGGAACGCTCGCTTGCAGGGCACCGCGTCAAAGCATGGATATCTCATTGTTCTAGCTGTCTTGCGGTAGCGTATTATCCGCAGCCGCGCATCATGCGGCTAGATCCTCGCTGCGGAGGCCCACGTTGCCCGACAGCGGCTGTGAGCATGCTTGACGACCATTCATAAGGACAGCCAGTTCCATCCTCCCATCCTTGTTCCATCGGCGCTGTTGTGCTATATTCGACGACGTCGTTGTCGCTGTTCTCCTCCTCGATCTGATGCCACCGCGTGAACCCGAAATAGTTGATTCGTGTAACGACGTGTGTATGTGTGTGTGTGCGTTTGTGTGTGTGTGCGTGTGTGTGTGTGCGTCTGTGTCTGCGTGTGCGTGTGCGTGTGCGTGTGCGTGTGCGTGTGCGTGTGCGTGTGCGTGCATGTATTTCGTTTGTATGCTGTGTGTGTGTCCATGTGTGTGTGTGTGTGTCTGTGTGTCTGCGTCCTGTGTCTCCTCCCTCCCGGGATCGCCCGCGCGTCGCAGCCGTTGCCTTTCGCGTGGATCTGCCCGCTTTGGGCGCGCGATGTTGTCGCTCCGTGGCGGCTCTCTTGGTTCCGTCCGCTCTTTCTGCGCCTTCCGCCTCACCACGGGTGGCCTCGCTCGTTGTGCTAATTCGTCCTTTCTCTGGCCGCCCTGGTCTTGCCGTGCGGCTCGGGTTGTCTCCGTGCGATCCGCCGGGCAACCCGCGGCGTCGATCCCGTGTCGCCCCTGCGGCCCGCTGCTCTTCTCGGGCGTTTCCGCCCTCTCGGTGTCCGCGCCTCCCCTGTCCCCCGGCCTCTCTGGGCGCCCGTCGCCTCTCTTTCCGGCTCCTTGGCAGCCGTGGCCTGCTTGCCGGTCGGCTTGGTGCGCCAGATGCGTCACGTGATCCGCGTGCGCCAGGTGTGTTGCAGGCTCCAGCCGCGCAAGCTGCACCAGGTGGGCCGTGTTTGCCGCATGCTCCACGCGCAGAGTGTGCCAGGTGCGCCTGCGCACGTGGCAGTCCACATCGGGAAACGTGTCGGCCCCCACCACCCTTGTCGAAAATCAGTGCGCAATCGCGCCGGGGTGGCCATCATAGCGTCTGGTGAGCTTGCACATAGAATGCAACAGGCCAGCAGCCCCGCCGTTCCAGTCAAAAACCAATGCACAGTGATCGCGAGATGCCCGCACATGATGCAGATCTTGCCTCGGAGTGTGTATTTTGTATTGTTCTTGACACGGATGCTGGCCACACGCTCAGCAGACAATCCCCCGCAGTCCCTGTCGACAAAACATACAAAGTGCTCGCGGTCCCCCCGATCATGACCCAAGATGTTGTCCCAAAGTGGACTTCAAATTGTTGATTGACAGCGATGGTGGGGGGGGCCCGCATTGGTCCCAGTCGGCTGCTGGTCGCCAGGGGAAGGCTTTTTTTTTAAAAAAGGGAGCAATGATAAACACTTCCCCCGAGAAGGCGAAGGATTCGAGCAGAGAGAAGACCCAAGCTCGTTAAACCACCTATGCCCAGAGGGCTCGTCGGACTTATGGGCATGTAGAGCACAACGTTTGTGGAAACCTTTGTATGCGGGAACCCCTATGTGTGGAACAGGGCTTGCGGTCCCAGACAGTTCCCCCCTGAGCATCCTAGCGAGGCGTATATTATCTGGTTTGTTGTCGTTCTCCTTGGCTTCGGCGCTCGCCCAATGGTTCCAGGAGGTATGCATACTTGCGTGTGTCCCTATGTGTCTGCGTGTATGGATGCGTCTCCGTCGTAGTTCCATGGCCGTCTGTACGCTATGTTCGCTCTCAGCCCGCTCGTGCCATTTCAGGGAGTGTCGTGGGTCACGTGGTCGCCGATGCGTTTTTTCTTTGACGTTCGGCTCTAGTTGCCGAGCTAAGGTCGACGACACGGCCGTTGTCGTCGGAGAGGCGGGCGCCTCCTTCGCAGACAGTCCAGGGCCAGCTACGCAGTTCAGTTCCGAAGCAGCGTGCTGTGAGATGCGAAAGTAGACATGCCCGCAGCTGTTCCTGCAGGTTGCGTGTAAGACAGTGAGCAGAATGCGCGACACGGTCGATCATGCTCAGGCCATACAGACAGAGAGATAATGGTACATAGAGAGAGAGAGAGAGAAAGAGAGAGAGAGAGAGACAGAGAGAAACAGAGACAGAGAGAGAGAGAGAGAGAGCGATAACGAAAACACACACACACACGCACTCGCACGCACGCACACCCGCACGCACGCTCGCACGCACGCACACACACACACAACACACACACACACACATGAAATCCATAAGTAGATGAAACATGTTGCGAGCTGTCGCGATCTCGAAAATTCAGCTGTGTCGCTACGCAGCGAGGCAGCACGCCACGGCATGCGCACCGTTCCAATACGCGCGGCAGTCCAATGCGGCACGGAAATACTTCAGTGAGACAGCACGGTATGCGCGCGGCGTTCTAATGCGGGGCATCCTTTAGTTTCAACGAGCTGTTCACCTGAGAATTCGCGTCTGAGCAGGCGCCTGGTGTGAGCCGGGTAGTTGTTAAGGGGCTTTCTCCGGTCACTTCCATCCAACGCCATGCCACGTTCGTATTCGAGCGGGCGCTTCCTGGGAGTTGGGCAGGTGCCGAGGATTTTCAAACACCCGCATAGACATCTCTCACATATCGAAAAAGCGGCCCGGGGGTCCGAAGATCGCCAGGGGCATCCAGACAGCGCCAAGTGCCACTCCCTCTACTCCAGGAGCGTCCCCAGAGCCTCCCCCGGACTCATCCGGCGCAGGGTCCACTTGCGGATTGCATGCTTTCCATTATTTGGCAGCTGACGTTGCGTGCTCGAAAGGCTTGGAGTGGAGGCCGTCGTCGAAGCGCGCCTAAGCAACGGCGTTTCGCGCGTGACATGGAGACGCACCAGGAAATATCGTGGAGCCAGGTGGGTCCAAACACGATTTCGCAGCGCTCCCTCTAACATTACAAGTTCCGACTTTCGCCTTTTACCGCTCCTGCGAGCCCGACGGGCACGGCGGGATCCTCAAGGGAGCACGACGGGCACCAGCGGCGAGAAGGTGAACACGACGATGGACCCAGCAGCACGAACCCATCATCCACCAGTGAGGGGCATAAGGGGACCGTTACGGCGTCCACCACGATGACGTTGAGTATCATGGAGCCGGGAACTACCATGGTGCCCACCACGACGGAGTCAAACATCATCGTCATCTCCTGGATGGTCCATGGCTTCGTGACGTTCTACGGGGGGGGGACAGGGCCACTCACAGGGATACTTTGAGCATGTCCATCAGCTCGCCTCCTGAGGCCAGCCGCAGCTGCCTCCTCCGCATCGCATGCCACTGGCGGCTGCCGCCAAGGCCCGAGTGGCGGGCTCTGCATTCATCTCTCGCTTTCTCTCTCTCTCTCTCTCTCGCGTGCGGGCTGCTCGCGGGGCGCTGCTTGCCGGACCCCATCGGCCGCTTTGCGGCCAACCCATTGCGGGGGCTGTTGGCTGGGCACCCATCGCAGCCCATCGCACGCAAATGCCGGACCCCCCATCGGCCGCTTTGCAGCCAACCCTAGCCACTGCATTGGGCTTGCCCTCCCGCCGCCCTATAGGTCCGTACGTGGCGCCGTGTTGCCACGCATCTCCCTTATTCAGCTACTTTACTTGCCTAGCCTACCTTGCACTGTGCTCGGGTTGTGCTCTTCTCAGTGCGCACGGAGTGTTCTCCGTTCGGTTACTACTGTATGTCCCGCCATTGGAGTTTCGTGTTGTGAGGTGGCGCCCACGTCGATCCTGTTCTCTCTCCTTTTCTTTCTTCCCAACCCTCCTGTCTTGGGTTCTCGTTTTGAATACAACACTGTGGTCGAGTCTCCTCCTCCCCCCCCCTCCTGCCTCCTGCCTCCCACTTCCTGTCTCTTCCTCCTCTTCCTTCTCATCCTCCTCGCTTTTCTCCTTCGTCCTGCTTGCGTTGCAGCCCTGTTGTGACTCTGCCTCTCTCATGTGCTCCCGGGAGGGGGGGACCTCGCTGTCCCCTGGGGTGGGGAAGCGAAGTGTGAAGCTGTCGCCACGTTCGCTGGCTCCTGGGAGGTCCAGCGGAGTGGAGTTGTACGGGTATCCAGTTGGGACCTCGCGGCTCCCTGGGGGGCTGCGGCGTGTGAAACGGTCGCCACGTTCGTAGGTTCACGGGAGGTGCCGCGGCGTGGAGTTGTGCGGGCATCCAGTTGGAACTTCGCGGCTCCATGGGGGGCTGCGAAGTGCGCAATTTGTCACGTGCGTGGGCTCCTGGGAGGTCGCGCGGAGTGGAGTCGTTCCGGGATCCAGTTGGGATCTCGCGGCTCGCTGGGGGGTTGCGTTGTGTGCGATTGTCGCCACGTTCGCAGGGTTCTTGGGAGGTCGCGCGGAGTGGAGTGTACAGGGAACTCGTTGGGACCTCGTGACCCCGTGGGACCCTGCGAAGTGTAAAATTGTTGCAATTGTCGTTGGCTCCTGGGAAGTGCCGCGGTGTGGAGTTGTGCGGGGATCAAATTGGGACCTCACGGTTCCCTGGGGGGCTGCGACGTGTGAAACGGTCGCCAGATTCGTGGGCTCATGGGAGGTGCCGCGGGCTGAAGTTGTGTGGGCATTCAGTTGGAACCTCGCGGCTCCTTGTGGTGCTGCGAAGTGCGCACGTGTCGCCACGTGCGTGGGCTTCTGGGAGGTCGCGCGGAATGGAGTTGTTCGGGGATCCACTTTGGATCTCGCGGCTCGCTGGGAGGTCGCGCGGAGTGGAATAACGCGTGGATCCAATTGGGACTTCGCGGCTCGCTGGGGGGCTGCGAAGTGCGCAATTGTCGTAATGTTCGGGGGGTCCTGGGTGGTCGCGCGGCGTGAAGTTGTACGGACATCCAGTTGGAACTTCGCGGCTCCTTCGGGGGCTGCGAAATGAACACTTGTCGCAATATGTGCTCATGGCACGTCCCCCGGACTTGAGTTGTACGGGTATCCAGTTGGGACCTCGCGGCTCCCTGGGGGGTTGCGGAGTGTGACATTGTCGCCACGTTCGTGGGTTCATGGGAGGTGCCGCGGCGTGGAGTTGTGCGGGCATCAGTTGGAACCTCGCGGCTCCCTGGGGGGCTGCGACGTGCGCAATTGTCGCCACTTTCGTTGGCTCCTGAGAGGTCGCGCGGAGTGGATTTGTACGGGGATCCAGAGGGGACTTCGCGGCTCCATGGGGAGTTGCGAAGTGTGACTTTGGTGTAGATTTGTAAACTCGCTTGCTAGTCCGCGACACGGCCGTGAGGCATTCCGCTTCTGCTTCGCAGTCGGGTCTGTGCGGGCACGCAGTCGCTCTGCAATGTCATTTCAGCCATATGTTCCTGAAGACTTGCCAATCGCGCACTGTTCTGCCCACGCGTCCCTCCGGACGCAATGCTCAGTGGTGGTGGTGGGAGAAACGAAGTGGGGTGCTGCTCCGTAGCCATGTTGGCTCAAGCCAATATGGCGCTGAGCTGGCGGCGGTTCGGTCCCGCGGGGCGCGCGGGCATCATGGCTCTACTGACGTCCGTCCTTGATGGCCTCGCGGCCTCGCGGCTGGGGTCCGCGGAGCGCAAAAGCGCTGTTCGGAGAGCGGTCGGGCTGGCGATGGCGGCCGACCCGTCACAGCGAAGGCGGCGTGCCAGGCGCCTCCGACGCCGTGGAGTACATGGCGATGCGGAGGCAGGCCCTCGGCATCAGGGCCTAGCAGCTGCTGGGCGCGTCGGGCGAGCTGGTCAGCGCCCTTGGGGCCAAAACGCTGGCGCAGGGCCTCGCGGAACTGCGGTCGGCAGGCGCACGCCCGCGTTCGCACGTGGAGCGGGACTGGAGGGCGCTTGACACGGCGGGCAGCCTCCTGAGGCACCCAGGATGCGGGGAGGAGGTCCTCGACGAGGCGAAGGTTTGGCTCGAAAACATTGGCCAGCTGGCCCCCGGCGCCCGCTTGGGCAAGGCCAAGACGCTTGAGGTGGAGCACGACGGCATCGGCTCCGAGTGCGAGGCCACGGACGTCGATCCGGAAAACAAGGTGCATTCCGCCGTCGACGGCGACTCGAAGGACGAGGACATCGTCACGGACTGCTGCGAGCGCTTCGACATCGGGAGCGATTGCGAGCCTTCCGTGGAGGAGGTGGGCAACAAGAAGGCGGATCTCAACAACGCCGAGCAGGCAGACAGGCTGGGCGCGGGCCTGGAGGCCCAGACGTTTACAAGAAGATGGAGTACGTCGACACCGACAGCGCGGTCGAGAAGATCGCGGAGGTCCCCACTCTTGCCGAGCAGATCGACGAGGTGGAGGCGGATATTATCGGCGACGATTTCGACGTGCAGAGTGGCGAGCAGCTGGGGCAGTTGGCCAAGGTGATCACGCATTGGCCCTGCAAGAAGTCGCCTTCCCAGGACACGACGCAGCAGCAGCCGCAGCAGAAGGACCTCTTCGGCGACAGCGCGCAGAAGGAGCTGGAGGGCATCGGCATGTCCGAGATCGAGGGGGCCAAGAACCTCGCGGCACCCAGCAGGGCCAGACGCAGGCGCAAGGGGCGCCACCGTGCTTCTAGTCAGTCTGGCTGCGATTCGCCGTCCCTCGCCCTTTTCTTCTCTCGGAGGCGCGGCGCGGGAGTGGTGTCGGTGGACTCCCCCTTTCCAGGGGGAACACGACCAGGATGGTGCTCCGCGGGGGCGCCATTGGTGATGCCGCGCGCCGCCGACTCGAGTGCGCCGCTGTGCACTCATGAAGTCAAACCTCGATCGGTGGCACAGGCGCAATTGCGAGTTTTCAAATAGCTTCCTGCTCCGCGGTCGCCCCTCGGCCGCGCTTGCAAAGGGCTCAAAAAAGGGGGCGCTGCTGCCACTGGCCATTGCCATCGGCTGCAGCCCCTTTTATGGCATCTCTTTAATGAGGGGGGGCCCTGACGGGGGCCAC